GTAGTGCTTAAAGTTGGGCAGGTGTTTAAAACTTATGCAGAGTGGTGGTTCTCTTAAGAAATGAAAAGAAAAATGAAAGAAAAACAAAGAAAAATAGAAAGCAAAAGAGAGCCACTACCAAGAATCTGAATAATGCCCAGTAAGCAGTGTTTCTTAGCAGTCTGGCTTGGAAATGCTAATGGTTATGCCTCCTTCGCTCTTGTGCTCTTAAGATATTGAGTAATGCAGAATAGCAGAAAGGAAATACCGGGTTGTTTGACTGTGATTGTGTGTTTGGAAAATGTGGAACCTTTTGCTATGAATACTTCCACCACCTAAAAGGCCTTTTCCCCATGTCCAAGACCCTAACCAGTCATTTGAACCTGTGTCTAAGACCTCCTGATTAGTTAGTGGTGACCACCCCATATGTGAACTCTAGCATTTAGAGGCTGCCATCATGGTGAAGAGATGATAGGGATTGAGAGAAATAGCATGCGCATTTTTCGCATCAATTTGTCCTGACCCCACTGGTCGAGAGTGAGTGATTCATTTTCATTTTCTATATGCTCTTGTACCCCGGTGAGGACCTAGATTGCTCGGTCTCTATTCTGATGTCTTGAGTTGGATGCATGAGTTGACTGTTTTGAGTAGGTGGTTGAATCAAGTCTAGGTTGGCTAGTGAACAGACGGGAGACTCTTCCTTTACTCGATTTGCTGCACTCGAATGTCCTTTGTGGTGGTTGTCCAGGTTGTTATTGAGGTTGTGCATGTATTGATGTTTGAAAACCAGTGCGATTCACGTGTTTTGTGCCTTTATGACTTGTCCCCAGTGTTGGTTGATTCAAATATGTAAGCTTACCTAGTGTCTGACTTGGTTTGCTTGGGGACAAGCAAACGGTTAAGTGTGGGGGAGTTTGATAGACCGATAATTATATATGTTTTCACCCCTATTCTGAAGTCGTTTGTGATGAGGAATCTCGTATTTTAAGCCGATTTTACGCTAGGTTGTGTGTTTATGTTACATTTCAGGTCCTGGCGTTGGAATCGAGGCGAAGGAACGAGTTCCGGATTGAAAGGAGCGAAGATTGGACAAAGGATGCTGCTGGACCAAAATACCTGGTCAAAGGAAGTAATACCCGACCGGGTATATTCTGGCCTCGACCGGGTATTTCCTCCTTCGGGCACCCGTGAGAAACAGAAGGGGGCCCGGGCGATGGCGATAAATCCCCGGTCGGGGATTTTGGTGGTAGACCGGGGATTTTCCCCTTTAGTGGAACGGTGCGTTTCGAAATACCCGGTCGAACCATAAAATACCCGACCGGGTATTTCGACCGGGTATCGTGGGGTCAGCTGATAAAAGAGGAAGAAGGCCAATTTTCAAAGGGTTCCGAGTTTTTGAGAGAGAAATCGATTCCTAGAGAGAGAAAGCGTCGAACCAGAGTTCCCAAGCGCCATAGATCGATCTTCAACACCATTGGAGCCCGTCTTGAGCTTGGAGAAGTGCGATTAAACGTCCAGGAGCAGGAATCCAACTTCACAGTATGATTTCCGTGTCTGAATCTGCTTTTGCTTCTTTCTCTATGGAGTAGTTTCCCCATTCATCTGGGTATGGAGAACCCTAGATTTGTATGCTAGGTCTGATTGTATGAACCCAAGTACAGAGTTTGTGAATTGATTATATTCGACTGAGGTTTGAATGATTGAATGACTTGAATCCTGATCAAATTCCTGTTGTTTCTACTTTAACCTAGAATGAGAATATCTGCCTAGGTTGATAGAGTATCCTTAATCGAAGGTGGCGAATTGGTGACTTTAGTCGAGAAGCCAATTCGCTATTCTGTACCGAAGTCAATTCGGTAGTGGAGGTTTGGTTCAGTAGGGCCTCAATCTGTTTACTCCGGTGGAGGTTAGTCGCCCGCTAGAGACTCAGATTGAGAGGGTCTGGAGACCTTTAGTCGAGACTTCAGGCTAATTGAGAACCTTCCGCAGTATAACTTTCATGAAAACTGAACTGGGTAAATTGCAATCCGACTTAACTTCAGTCTAGGGGGAACCATATCCGGGTGACCTCTCTTGACTTGACAACAAACCGTTTACTTGCTTTGTGTTTTGTTTGCTTGAGTTTCACTAAAAGTTCACCGCTAAATAACAAGACTTCACTTAGTAGTCATCACATCTAGGACCCGGGTTGACATTAAAACCCGACCCGCTATACTACGCTTTAGGAAGTGGTTATACTTGGCCATTTTCTAGGGTGACAGTAGGAGTGAGTCAGTTCCAAAACCTTTGAAATTAAATCAAGTTTACTTCTAGGATCAAGCACACATGCTATGTAATTAAGTGATTTACCTTCATGTTCCCCTCATTCATAGCAGGTGTCTCAAACCAATACTTATGTACCTTTTCCTCAACCTTTTCTACCATCCTTTGGATCTCTTCATGTGGATCATTCTTCAATTCCTAAATGATGTCATAAACTGGAACAAGCTTCTTGAAGAAGATATGGGTAGTCACAATTTAGTTCATGTACAATGAGAAGAGAACATAGAAAATTAGAGTAAAACAAATAAAGATGGTCAAATGGTTAAAATAAAACAATCAATTCAAATTCCACCTACCCGAGACTAGGAGGGTCAAGTCATTGAAGACTTTCAGGTACTTCATCAACTTCCTAATCAGCTACCAATCTTGTTCAGTTGGAAGACCACCTCTTGAGTAAACATAATCTTTAAAGGAATGATCGTGTATACTTTAATACAAAGTTGTAAACACTCCATCAAACCTTTCTGCGACTCTAACATGATCTAGGTGGAGTTCCACCTGGTCGGTACATCCAAAGACACCAATTTGGTTGACTCCACATTCAGAAATTTCATGGCAGTCTTGAAACTTGTCAACCTAGCTGGTGATGACCTCACCCACTTCACACAGTCCCGAACTCTATCCACAGCACCTCCAATGACATTCAGTCCATCTTGCACCATCAAATTAATTATGTGTTCCTCACATCAAAACTGCAGATACTTCCCATCCATCAAATCACACCCTCAGTCCTTTAACTTCGTTCTCATGCAATCACCGAGAACATCATTTGAAGTTGCATTGTCTATAGTAATGCAGAACAGATTCTTCACCTTCCATTCTTCCAGAACTCCTGCAAGCTTCTGTGCAATATCCTTTCTAGTATGACTTGTGATGGGAATAGAGGATATGAACTACTTCTGCAACTTCCAATCATATCCAACAAAGTGAGATGTCACACACATGTAATTCTTGTTGTTATTAGAAGTCCATGTATCTGTGGTGATTGAAACTGTGCCTTTGCTCTTTTATTCAAAAAAACTCAATCAAATGCACTTTTTTCTCCAAGAATATATGATAGCAATCATCTCTTATAGCTCTCCTCCCAGGTATCTTAAACAGTGTCTGAACAACTAGCATGTACTGCTTAAACCCTTCCCTCTCCACAAAGCGAAATGACAACTCATCCATAATGATCATCATGGCTAAGGCATATCTAGCTTTTGCGTGATCAAACTTCCATAAAAGACTTACTTGACATTGACTACCATCCGTTGTCTGCAAGTTCAAAACACTCTGATCCTTCGATGCTGCCACCTTAGCCAAACATGATGTCCGATGGTTAGTCATTGCAGAAGTCCCGTTCTTAAAAGGATGAGCTTTGATTTGAGTATGACAATGCATGCACTCTCCCATCGGATACTCTTTCACCACCATCTTCGTAAAATCCTTCCAACAATCAGCCTTGCCCTCCGCCTACAACCATTTCTCTAGGTCGAGGTTGTCGCCTTTAACTTTAGCCGAAGTCAGAGTAGACGTGTCTACTGTTGGAGTCTCAGCAGGTTTACTTTCACTACCGACAAGGGTGGGATATGATGAAGTTGATGCCGACGGTTCAGCAGCTGGAACATGTCGCACGACCCCGGGTCTGAGCAGGAGGAGTTGTGGCACCCGCACCACCACGACCTCGAGGTGCCGGAGGTCTCCCACCATGAGGAGCAATCTCAACAGTAGGAGCACCTCGTCCGCCACATCCACCACGAGGAGCCGGAGGTCTCGCCATACAGAAACAATTTCACAAATTGAGAAATTGAAACTCAATAGTCAATTCAAAGAAATTCTAACAAATTCTAACATTCACCATCAATCATCCTTCATCATTAACTCCCACAAGCATAATCAATTAATCATCATCAACTCTCACAACCACAATAATTATCATCTAAAATCCTCATCAAACTTACATCTAAAATCTTCATCAATCTGATTCAATCATCATCAACTCCCATTATAAAAAAAAACTTACATTTCAAACTTCAAAGGGGACGACGAATATGTAATTGTCGGCTACTTCATGGGTGGTTGGTCGCGAAGCAGGCGAGTCAGAGGGGGTCGCCAGTTATAGGCGAGGGCGCGGTTAGGAGGCGACGTCGCCAGGGGGAGGGAGATGGCAGGGGGTTGCTCTAGTTGCGGGGTTCGCGGGAGGGTCGACCCGTACAGAGGGGTCGCGGGCGACGCTGATGGTCGTTGAAGGTCGCCGCAGGTCGTGGGGGTCGCGGGGAGACGGTGGGGAGACAATAATTGGTGGTGGAACTCGAGGGTTGTTGAAGGTCATCGTCGATGGCCTGAGTAATGGGTTTGGTCGTCTGGGAGGGTAGAGGCGGCGGGATGAGAGAGAGGTTTGGTGAGTGGTGAGAGTCAGTCGACGAAGGAGGATAGGATTGGGGTTGGGCTGGCCGGTTGGGGTAGTTTTTGGTTGATAAAAAGGAGTTCGTTTTGGGTAGGGCGACACCGTCTGAGCGAGTTTTGAAAACCGATCGCGGTTAGCACCAATACTCTTCACCAACACCCGACCGCGACCATCAATTACTGGTTTTCAGTTAGTCGCTGACCGGCGTTTATCGGTTAAACAAACCGGTTAGCAGCTAACCGACATCTAACGGCCACCCCTACTTCAAATGGTTTGATTTTTATCTTTAGTCAACTCTCAACTCAACTAGATTTCATAAGAACAAACGAAATAAGAGAACCAACAAAGCGACACGGAAAAATGGCCTCGTTACGATTTCTCTTCTCGTTTCCGCAGCCCGGTAACAAACCCAACGTTAGTTCCAAGGCCGCCACCACCTCCCGCTCCTTCTCTGCCGCCGCTGGCGTCGCTTGCTCCGTCGCAGCTGGTGCCGCCACATTTGCTGCCACCTCCGCCTCGAAGAACTCAAGAGACGGTAAGCCCTCATTGGTGGAAAATGCACTCAATTCACTCCTCTCAGGCCGCTCCTCGCTGCCGTGGGCCTCCCTCGCCCTTGCCAACGGCCCGGCTTCCGTCGTCGAATCGAAGACCGGCGAATCATTCCCTTGCGTAATTTCTGGCACCCGGAGGCTGTTAGGCATTGGGTTGAGGAGAAAGAGCCTGCTGGGGTTGAAGAGCATCGATGTCTATGCATTTGGTAACGTTCCCTTTGAAGCTTCCTTTCTTTTCATTTCTCGATTGATTCCATCCCTTTCAATTAACCATGCTCCTGCGATTGAGTGATGACATCAGTTAATTCATACTGGCATGCTGGATTCCCAAAGGCCAATTTGCTGGATTTAGCAATGATTTAGTTATGTGTAGCTCAATTCTAAGCTAATATCTGCTTGTGTAAATGTGATATGGTAATGGTGTCAATGTAATATTAAAAATGCAAGAATTACAGTGGCTGATAGTAGAGCCGTGCGGGGTTTTTTAGCAAGCTAATGTAATGGTGAGAGTGAGATCTTCCTGTTGTGCAGTTTCTTCTGACTGGGAAATTGAATTTATGCAGGCGTGTATGCTGATAAAGATGAAGTGCGGAAGTCTCTTGGTGACAAGTATGGAAAACTTTCTGCCGCAGACCTCAAACAAGAACTACTAGATGCGGATGTAAGTTTGACCATCAGACTTCAGATAGTTTACGGTAAGCTAAGCATTCGTTCTGTACGAAATGCTTTCGAGGATTCAGTTGGCAGCAGGCTGCAAAAGCTTGGTGGAACTGATAACAAGGAGTTGCTTCAGAGGTGAGCTATTAGTTGCTTAACTAGATATTCTCTTGTTTGTTACTTTAAGCATTGCCTAGGCTCGTAGGAGACAAATATCCCGTCATGGACTGTTTCTCGCGTGGTCTGTAGGTTCACTTCCCAGTTCAAGGATGAGTACAAAATACCCCGGGGTTCTGTAATCGAACTCTCAAGGGAACGAGGCCATGTCCTGCGCACAACAAGTAAATCCTTTATGCTGTTATCTTATGACTGCTCTTTCTCGTCTTTGCTTTGTTCATTCTTGATCATAGGTGGTGATGTTTCAGAGAACACAATGATTTGTTTGTACTCTGTAGAATAGTATCGTGAAATGTAAACATACATCTGTTTCGCTGCTGCTTTATTTTGGTCCACAGTTGAAGGGAAGGATGTGGGGAGCATCGAGAGCAAGGCACTGTGTCGGTCCATCTTAGATCTATACATTGGTGAAGAACCATTTGACAAACAGGCGAAAGAAGAGATTGAGACTAATCTGGCATCTCTCCTCCAAAAGTAGAATGTTATCCAGAGTGGACCGCTGCTGGAGCTTTCAAAAATGAGGAGGTCATGTTTCAGAGTTTTCGCGTTACAACTTTATTGTTCCAGTTGGAGCACTGTATGGCACTATGGCTACAGCAGTGACTCCGTGCTAACCAAACTATAAGTCGAGCGAATGTTTTAAACTTTAGAGTAACTGCCAAAAGATTAGAAAAACAGCACATTACGGTAAGGTGATGCAAGTGGGTTGGATTACGCATTGTTTGGTACTATCGTCATGAATTGTGCTCTTTGTCAGCTCTAGGATTTGAGCAGTGAACACCGCCTGTTACGAAGCTTCCTCTTCGTAGATAAGGTTTAGGGCTGCAAACGAGTCGAGTCGAGTTTTTCTTAGTTTGAGCTCGGCTCGAACTCGAATTTTGATAATCCAGCTCGAGCTCGGCTCGATTAAAATAACTCGGTAGAGCTCGGTAAATGTTCATTAACACAGAGTATAAGCTCAGCTCAAGATGAGCTCGATTTGAAATCATTCTTGCTGAAAAATGTTTACACATAAGAGTTTAAATGATAAAAAGAACACGAGAAACTATAAATAATAGCTAACTTTCATACTCGTCTGTATTAACAAGATAATGTTCATGTTCAGAAGAGTAATTAATCCTTCCAACAAGCCACCGAGTCAAGCTAGCTCATTAGCTTATCAAGCTAAGCATGGACTAGCTCAAGTTTGGCTCGCGACCCGACTTATTAAATAACGAGCCGAGTGTCGAACGGGTTTTTTTTTATTCGAACACCGAGTTGCTCGCGAGCGACTTGTCTCATTTGCAGCCCTAAAATCATGACAACTGAACCTGACCTCACGGGTATTCAACCGGATCTAACTCAATCAAAGTGGGTATAATCTAGTATTATAGTGTTGATGGATTTTGGGTTAGGTGTGGGTTTTGTCCGTTTTTTAAATTGACTGGTTGGGTAGGGTTTGAGTTTTGCCAAAACCCAACCCGCTTTCTACCGGACCCACAATCGACGTCATTTTGTACCTAATTGTAATAATATGAATAATCTATGAACGTTCCGAGTCTTCTGACAAACTAAACCTAATAATATGGATAATTTATCGATAATAGTAGTTTTTATGGGATAGATTTATGGGAAAAGTGTCAATAACCTTATGGGGATTTCCTATGGTGACTTGAATATTTTTACCTGCTATAGCAGGTTTCATAGGTCGCATTACGTAAAACATAATAGGTGTTACGTAATGGTTACGTAATATATTCTTATCTTACGTAACAGTTGTAAAAGGTCATTACGGAAGCCTTACGTAATGGACGGTCTTCTTACATAATGAATATTCACTATGCATTACGTAAAGTGTTAAGTCATTACGTAATCCTTACGTAACGCTTCAAATATAACTGTTACATAAGAAATAACTGTTGGTCATAATATATGTGCATTTTACGTAATAGTTGTAAAATGTCATTACGGAAGACTTATGTAATGAACGTTCATTTTACGTAATGAAAATTAACTTAGTGTTACGTAAAGTATTAAACCATTACGTAAGTCTTACGTAAATCTTTTGATTTAATTGTTACGTAAGAAACCATTATCGTTCCGTAATCTTTACATAATAGATGTGTAGTTTACGTAACCGATGTATTTAAAAAGGTTAAGAATTTTTTTAAAAAAATGTGAAAAAGAAAAAATCAAAGTAAACGTGGATGTGAAAAAGGGAAAAAGGGAAAAAAAACAAAAAGAAGTTAAAAGGGGAAAGTGCTGGGTGCCCGTCTTTCTTTTTTGTTTTTATTTTTTTAATCAATGGCTTAAAATAATTTCAATTTACTTTAACGGTTCAGATCTATACAAGTTATCTAACTTGAAATTATACTCAAGTTATCTTAGGAGATTCCTAACATTATGATGTGGGTGTTCGAAGAAATATGTATAATTATGTTCGTGGATCCATGGGTACAAAGCAGTCAAAATCGGGATTTTACGTAAAATCGAAAATGGGAGTAAAATCGAATCGTAAAATCATAGGAGTTTAAGGTCCATATAAAAATCAAGACGGAATAATATTAGTAAGGAAAATCATGAATAACACAAAAGCACATAACATTTACAATGATAATTTTTCAAGGTTAATGTTCAATTTATCAAGATTAATGTTAAGAGGTGGTGAATCGATGAGATTAATACGTTGATGTGAATTGATTATAGTCCATGGTGGTTAGTGTGAGAGAACTAGACGATGTTGGTGGAGGAGAAGAAAAAGAGGCGTAATTTTGCAAATTCTAGGGAAAATAAGTAAAATTGACTCAAAGATTTGAATAGTAAAATCGTAAGATTTTAAAGATTTAAGGATTTAAATCGTGAATAGTGTAGGATTTTAAGGTCCATAGATTTTATAGTGAAATCAGAATCGGAATAGGTAAGTAAGATCGTAAAAGTGTAGGATTTTAGGATTTAAATCGGGATTTTAAGTACTCTGCATGGGTATTCATCCACCCGTGAGTACTCATTCGATTTGTTGGATTTTCACTTCTAAAACTCAATGAATATTCTACTTAATATTTTAAATGAGTGCACCCACTGAATTTAATTTAAGATTAAATAAACTCGGACCATGGACATCCCTACCTCTAGATAAACAACTTCTGTTGGACGGTAAAGAGAGAGTCCAAAACTACTTTTTTTATGGTATCAAGAATTTCATTAAGCTCCAGAACCCTTGTACTAAGGGCTCTCTCGAGTGTACAATTTTAAACGTTACAATCAACCATCAAGGGACACTCTATACTATACTTCAACAATACTATTCTGAAGAAAACTTGGCAAAACAGTACAAGTATCAACTCTACTATGGACCATAAACCTTGCTTTTGATTGGATCCGAGCCACAAGTTGATGAGGGTGTTGCATACCACTTCCATAGGACCTGCGACATCTTTCCTTCCAAACATGACTCATAACCATACTCCATATCAAATTGCCTAACTTCAAACGCACACAGGAACCATTCCAAGTATGTATTGCCAAATTAACAGTCGATTGCCAGGTTGGGAGAACAGGGGCTGAGAAAAATCAATTAAGCATTGTTGTAAAACAAAACAAAAATATAGGAGCAAGTGCCAAACATGTGATAACGAGATTCAAATCCACCTGGACAAAGGACACAAGTCACCTCTTCTGTTTTCCCCCAAGCTGCAAGCTTATCTCGGGTGTAAATTCTATCCAACATGATTAGTCACAAGATCAGACTATGTTTAGGAATAGAGAACTGTCCCCAAACTAGCTCAGACCAAGGAACTAAAGACTGTGAAGAATGGATAGAGAGCCAAACCTTCTTAATTGAGTATCTATGCACAGGTTGACCTAGCCATTTTATTGATGTGCCCGCACTCATAATAAAGTGATGAGCCTCCTCCCTAGCCTTCAGAATATGCTTCCAAACCCAAAAATCAACTCTCTCTCTCTCTCTCTTTTTGACAGAAGTACTTTTGTAGTTCTGTTACTCTTCCATGGAGATAAACACTAAAATTGGTAGGCAAGGAGTGGAGCTCTTAATGAGTCGAGCTATTAGTGAGCGACTCAGTCTCGAACTCGATAAAAGCTCGTTCGATTAAAAAAAAGCTCCACTCGTTAATAAACGAGTCGAGCTTGAGCTCTACCTTGTTCAGCCGTGAAGCTCGTGAACTAGCTCGATTAGGTAGCTCGTTAATACAAATCATGAACTGTCTCATTTTGACCTTATGAGATGTCCCAACATTGTGACTAGAGAGCCAACTCAACTACAACTTTTGAGAAATCAATCTATATTTTATGAGTAGGTTTGTTAATGATGCATATAATTATTAAATTGTATATATCACCACATATGGTGTTTAATTCATTGAGTATATGTAAACAAATACGTCTCACATATGACATAACATTAGGTAATCACATGTATCACATATGACATATAAATATTAGGGTATTTATATGATAAATTATCTTAGAGTTGAGGTTGAGCCAAACTTTCGATCTTAATGATGTGTCAAGATTTAATAAATGAGTTGGCTTGTGTTCGACTCGACTCGGCTAACGAGCCGAACATGAACAAAGCAAAGCTAGACTAGGCTCGGGTCATTAACAACCCTGCCAAAAACCTTTCTTCTAATTGGATCCGAGCCACAAGCTGAGGAGGGTGTTGCAGACCACTTCCATAGCACCTATGACATCTTTCCTTCCAAACATGACTCATAACCATACTCCAGATCAAATTGCCTAACTTCAAACGCACACTGGAACCATTCCAAGTCTGTATTGCCCAATTAACAGTCGATTGTCAGGTTGGGAGAACAGGGGGCTGAGAAAAATCAATTAAGCATTGCTGTAAAACAAAAACAGCATAGGAGCAAGTGCCAAATATGTGATCACGAGATTCAAATCCACGTGGACAAAGTACACAAGTCACCTCTTATGTTTTCCCCCAAGCTGCAAGCTTATTTCGGGTGTAAATTCTATCCAATATGATTAGCCACAAGATCATACTATGTTTAGGAATAGAGAATTGTCCCCAAACTAGCTCAGACCAAGGAACTAAAGACTGTGGAGAACGGATAGAAAACCAAACCTTCTTAACTGAGTATCTATGCGTAGGTTGGCCTGACCATTTTATTGATGTGCTAGCACCCGTAATAAAGTGATGAGCATCCTTCCTAGCCTTCAGAATACGCTTCCAGACCCAAGAACAAACTCTCTCTTTTTTTCTTTTGGGCAATGTCTATTTTTTACCCAAATCTTTTTCAGATTCTTTTATTTTAACCAAACCTATAGAAATTCTATTTTATATCCAAACGTATTATAATTTATCAAAGTCTGGGCATTCATTCTGTTACCGTTACTTATTTCGTCCACGTGAGAGGTGGGATTTTGTTTTGTTTTTTGATAATCTTTTTATTAAAAATAGTAAATGATGGTATTCTGACCGCCACGTAGGAAGTCAACTCATTATGGTCATACTTAGTCAGCATTACTAACAGAAAAGTTGACGGAGAGTTAACGTTGGGATAATTTTTAGGAATTCAATAGGTTCGGTTAAAATAAAATAATCTGAAAAAGGTTTGGGTAAAAAATAGACATTGCCCTTTTCTTTTTGACAGAAGTACTTCAGTAGTTCTGTTACTCTTCCATGGAGATACATCACTAAAATGAGCACTATTACTATGCTATATAGTATTGGTGCTTTAATGTACAACTCAAAGTTGTACCATAACATTAAATGTATAAGTTTAGGTTGTACCATAAAGTAATTTGTACCATTATGTTATGGTACAACTTTACAACTTGAAGTTGACCATCACATAAAGGTACAAGTTCAAGTTGTACCATAAAAGAATTTGTACAAAAAGTATAGGTACAATTTAAAGTTGTACCATAACATAAATGTACAATTTTAAGTTGTACCATAAAAGCAAAAACCTATAACACCAATACTATAAAGCATTGTAAAATTTCTCCACTAAAATTGGTAGGCAAAGAGTGTAATCTATCGTAGAACTTAGAAGGCATGATAAGCGGAGCTCACCGAGAAACTTCCAGGTCCATAAGTCTTGTGCCTCTAATCGGAATCCTTTCTAAAACCACAACAAGATTCATAAAATGCACCCCTCGACCCACTTCTTCCATGACCACTGGGTTAAATTTGGGCCTTGGCCCAATATTCAATTTTCCCAGCAGGCAGCAGCCGAACAGTCCCCACTTATCCACATTCCACATCCATCCTCTTGCTCCCATTCCCCTCTACAGCTCTCACACACTCTCGACTTTCTTCTCCTCCGCTTTTCATGGCGTCGCCGTTGTCTCTTCGCTCCCTCCTTCATGCCAAGCACACCAACTCTCCCTCCATTCCAGGTCTTCATCTTCTTTTCACTCCTTTCACTTTTCCACAGTGTAGTTTTCTTTCTCCTCTTTCCTTTTTCCCTTTTCCCTTTTCCCGTCCAGTTAATGCGTACCGGTTTTCTGCAGGCTCGTGCTACGCAGTGCCGCACCGTGCGAAGCTCCATTCCAGTACTGCCGCTGCCACTCTGTGCTTCTGGAGCTCTTCTTCCAGCTACGTCAGTCTAAGGGCCGGCGCTCCCCAGCTCTGCGGGAAGCCGATTGCTGTGAAGCGGTTGTCGCCCAAGAGGCGAGTAAATGAGTAGCTTCGCTTCTATTCGTATACTTGCTGTCTTAGTCCTTTCTTTCTTTATTTCCTCGCGTGATTGATTTCTTGCATTTGCTGTAATTGCTAATTGATTCAGAGATGGATTCGTGAGGTGTGCGACCATGGAAGAAATTGAAGCTGAGAAATCATCTATTGAACAAGATGCTGTATGTAGCTTTTGTAATTGATTCTCTCTCCAATTCCTGCCCCTGTATTGATGAGAAAAGGAACATTGTTGCATCGGCTGATTGGCTTTGGCTTTTGTTATCAGAAAGTAAGGATGGAAAAGACTATCGAGACACTTCGAACCAATTTCAATTCCGTAAGGACGGGCAGAGCAAACCCTTCCATGCTAGATAAGATCCAGGTATTCGTCTGCACAATAGATGACTGAACGCCTTTACAGTATTGTATTTACCCAATTTCATGTCTGCACGATGAATCGGCCAAAACTGTTGCTTGTTGATCAAGTGCTGGGTTTGCCTTGTTATAGCATGGTGTGTCACCTGCTGCATCATTAGAACTTTTTGTTGGCTGTAATACTGCTGTTTCTGTACGAGGATATGGTTTTATCTGAAAGGGTTGAAAAATTTATGCATTTCAGGTGGAATATTATGGAAGTCCAGTATCCCTGAAAAGCATAGCTCAAATCAGTACCCCTGATGCTAGCTCTATTCTGGTTCAGCCATACGACAAGTCCAGGTATTTTGAAGTCTCGGGATTAGCCCAGCATGTATTAGCCACTGTGTAATTTGTAAGTGAACTACCGAAGTATGAGCAGTATGCCACGAATTTCATCATCACATGAATAGAACGTCTAGAATGGATCCACACCAGATACAGGCATAAACATAACCAAATACTTTGTAGAGTTTCTTTAAGGTGCCCTGTGCTGTAGACAGTGGCAGTAAGGTTTTTAGTGTCTTCTTTACTAGGGCTCTTGCATTCCATGAATAACGTAAAATTAGAATTTAGCATGTTATGCTTGGTATCCTGGATTCAGGGTTACTACTTGACCCATTTTGTGTGTCAGCTTGAAGGCTGTAGAGAAGGCCATTGTGAATTCTGATCTTGGTTTGACGCCAAACAATGATGGAGAAGTTATCCGACTCTCTGTCCCTCAGTTGACATCTGACAGAAGGAAGGTACCTTGTCTTTCAATAATTTGGGCAGTGTATAGTTTCCCAATTATCAAAATTGAGATGTTGATCTCAATTTATTCTACTTATTTGGTCATGGGATATTATTAACCTTGAAAAACAAATGGTAACGACTAATGTATCTTAAATTCTTAATGTATCTGAGCCAAGGGCAGTAAATTGGCCTTGATTTCTTTCTGGGATTACTGCATTACTCCATATTTTTGGGCACTGTCGACCGTCTTTCAGATGATTTTTTTTTTTTTTTGTAAATTTCACTGATTCTGTTAGGGATGTAGCTGAATTTCCCCCTCTCTTGATATTGCAGGAGCTGTCCAAAGTTGTAGCTAAAATGGCTGAGGAGGGGAAGGTACTGTAGTTTTTTCTTAATGGTTCGGGACTTAACTCATTCTCAAAACAAGATCACTCATCTGCACCACATAGGTTTCATGGCATATCTTGGACGACTAACTGATTTGTTTGGGTTCATCTTATGTTTAAATTATATGCAACACTCATGTTGCGGAGCCTGGTAATAGCATGTCAGTTATGATAGCTTCGTCCTACATGATATCCTTGGATTTTTAAAGCATATCATATATTGCACTCACTAATCTTTTCCTAACACAACATTTGTTGACCAATGTTGATAGGTAGCTTTGAGAAATATCAGACGAGATATACTGAAAGCTTATGAAAAGCTGGAGAAGGTTTCATTCTAGAAGCACCTGCTTGTGCCCTTTTCATTTTTGTTTGCTTCCTTAGGAGGTGTCTCTTTGTTATTCGGATTAACAAACTGGTAAGCTTTAATGTAATCGTCTTCCTCTCTTGGCTTGTTTGTTTGTATTCTTTTCAGGAGAAAAAGCTGTCAGAAGATAATGTGAAGGACTTGTCAAGTGATGTACAGGTATCTTGATCCTAAAGTTCTTACCTGTGCACTCGTTTCATTTTTTTATGCTGGTTGTAGCTAGTATCTTGATTATATTCTCTTATCAATTTGAAAAAGGAATCCCCTTCGGAAGCACTTTTTGAACTTCTAAGGTGCCTGGTTCTACATTATATGCATTTTATATACATGAAAACTCATGCTGTATTATTTGCTTGACTAATTAGAAATTTCACATTTTATTTTTGTATTAAGCTCAATGATTATGTCCTGAATTCTACTGAGTATCAAGAGGGTTGACCTATTAGTAATGAGATGAAAACAGCAGGTTTGATGGTTGAGAGCAACACCATCTGAATGCAAATAACATGCTCTGAATCCAACTTTCCACCTTTGGTACTGTTTTCTGTTTTTGCAGAAGCTGATAGATGATTACACGAAGAAGGTAGATACCCTCTTCAAACAGAAAGAGAAGGTATGTCCATCTCAATTCTCAATCAAGCAGCTGGTAACTTTCCGATAAAAGGATGACCGTCAGCTTGTTGTTTAGCTTCTTGCAATCTCATTCCAGATTATGTGTCCAGTTAGGAAAAGACTTCGGTCAGTCCTGGGGCTTGTCTTGAATGTTATGCTAATACTAACTTTCCTTTCTTTGGGCTTTGTTGCAGGAGCTGCTGAAGGTATGACTGTAGTAACTCATCCCACAGGCAAGATATCTGCCCGTTTTCTGCTCTCTCGGAAGTGTTCATATCCCATTTTGGAGTTCATAGAGCTTTGGCTGATATTGTATTTTGGTCTCTACGATGAAAAGAAATTTGGATATTGCTGTTAGTGAGTTTGTATAGCAATAATGGCATGCAAACCTGCTACTTTCTCATGGCAAGGTTCCTTTGAAGAGTGCTCTTTTAACGGTCAGAGAGATGAGTTGAGAAAGAATGTGTATGTATCTATTCATCTTCCTTCTCTATTCTCCAACAACATCCAACTCTTTCTGAGGTTGGATACATGAGAGGTATGCTCCGGCCGACGGACAATGTGTGGCTTGTATGTGATTTTTCCTAACTCACAAAGTTAGTTAATAGGAATAAATTACCTTGCATAGGGTTGCAAATGAACTAAGCCCCTCGTGAGCAATTTGGCGTTCGAATTGGAAAAAATTTGTTCGATACTCGACTCGTTATTTAACAAGTCGGCTCGCGAGTTGACTCGTTAGTAAATGAGTCAAGGTTGAGCTAGATCTTGCTCAGCTTGATAAGCTCGTGAGCTAGCTTGACTCGGTGGCTTGTTGAGTTAAGCTTGTTAGCTAGCTTATTTAGAGATTGTGAATGATTAGTTACTTTTCTAAACATGAACATTATCTTAATAATACGAAAGTATATGGAAGCTAGTTGCTATTTTTAGTTTCTATTTTTTTATCATTTAAATTCTATGTATACACATTTTTTAGAAATAGTGATTTTAAATCGAGCTCATCTTGTGCCAAACTAGAACCCAGCTTGACAAGTTGTGTTAATGAGCATTTATCGAGCTCGACCTGGATTATCAAAATTTGAGCCGAGCTCGAGCTGAAAAATTTATAAATGAGCCGAGCATAAGCTAAGCAAAAACTCGACTCGTTTGTAGCCCTAAGTCCTTGCAATAAGGTTTGGTAATATGTTATACCGTGAGCCGATAAATCGATTACACCCCTGGCTATAATGTTAGTACCATGCTAACTATACCTAAAATCATCTAAAAAAGATGGGTAAATATGACATTTCTTAGCAAATTTACTTTATCTTATAAATTTACAAAGGGTTATAGGTATAATATGTCCCTTTATTATGTCGTTTTATCAAACATGCCGCTCTATTATTTTTAACATCAAACATGGCCCTGTAATTTTGAAAAAAAATCAAACATGCCCTTCTGTTAAATTTTCATCAAAAAACCGTTAACCACGACCAAAATTTGGTTTGGGCGACACAAATGTCTAAAATATCCCTAATAATTGCACTTTAAATTTTATTTGGTTCTTTTGTATAGCTAAATAATTCTAATAATTTCACTTTGACAACACCCGGAGAAATAAAACAGGAGACAAAACTAATATTTCCCTCCCATTTGTCGATGTTGGGTCGTCTAAATTTCGGTTCAACCATGATTGGCAATTTTTTCAATGAAATTTTAACAAAAGGGTATGTTTGATCATTTTTCCAAAGTGCCATGGATGAAGGCAACCTTGTTTTTGGTTCCTAGAGCAACAAGCATCACTTGACTCCATGTATGTTAGTTTCCATCAATGAGCTTCACAGAGATGATAGTGGACAGAGCACCATCATGAGGCGGAAGGTAGTAGGGATTAAGGTAAGGATCTTCATAGGAGGAAGAGTAACCCATTGATACTTGTGTAGATTTGCCAGGACTGGTTGATGATTTGTCACCCATGATTCAGCAACTTGGGAGAAAGAAATTTAGAGAATGAAGAGGTTGATGAAAGAAAAGAGTGCAGAAGACGAAACCCTAACATAGGTGAGAGCAAACAAGCTCTGATACCATGAGAAGAAAATTATATCTAGGGGAAATTTCTCGATGAGCTTCCCATTGATGACAAATCAATATATATACAAAGGGTTTCACTAATCATTGTACCTAACGACTAACTCTAACTATAGGTGTCAATCAGGCGGGTTCGGGCTGGGTTCAATCGGGTTCGGGTTTAAACGGGTTGCGGGTTAGTCGGGTTGCGGGTTCATCGGGTTCGGGTTCAAATGGGTTGCGGGTTAGTCGGGTTGCGGGTTCATCGGGTTCGGGTCAATCAGGTTGCGGGTAAATCGGGTTGCGGGTTCATCGGGTTTTGGGTCGGGCGGATCGGGTCTCGGGTTGTTCGAGCCAGCGCATCGAGTAACTTACTCATTACTCGTTATCAACTTACACATTTTATTACACTAATTTAAAATATTTTCTCAACTTTTTAACCAATTTATTTCTACCTCGTATATATATGTACTTTTTTTTTTGAAAAAAACTAGTCAAAATGTTTAATCAATTTGTATGACTTGCAAACTTGTTATGCAATTAATCATAATTGATAAAGTACACTAGCTAATAGTAATGGTGATATCAATATTTGCAACCAAAAGACATCATTAATTGTTTATTTGATATTTTAGTATTAATTCAGTAGTAATTGGATTAAAGTATCTCGTTTAGTATAACCATGCAAATCTGGTATTTGGCGTGTGGTATTTGGCAAAAGCATAGTGATAAAAGGAGTTATTTCGAAATAACTCATTGCCCAAATAACTTTGGTAAACTGTTGCCAAACGAATTATGTGTAAAATTGTTCGAATTATCCTTAAAATTGAACCATTAAAGATTAACTATCAAACTTAGTAAAATTATTGTGACTTCAATCATAACTTACTCAATAACATATATCCTATACACTTAGCCTTACCCTCAATCAACAATATTAAGTTAGTGTATGTTGTTGATTGTATACTCTAAATCATCAATACATTATACACTAACCACATACCATATACCCTATACTCTAACCATATGTCCTTGAGTTGTGATTTTGCTAGTATAGTTAATTTAAAAGTGAAATTCATACTTTGATTTTCAAAACATAGATAAAAAGTGATATTTGCTAATTGTTATACCCTAACCATATATCCTATACTTTACACCACATACCTTGTACCATAGCCACGTACCATAAACATAAATTGAAAAGGGATCTCCTGCCGTTAAAGACTTCAAATGACTTCAAGTGAACATATGTTAATAAAAAACTTAGAACCGTCAAAACCATCAATTCTTATACACTAACCATATACACCATACCCTAACCATATACTTTATACCCTAAATAACGAACCGTCAAAGATTACTTATCAAGTTTAGTATAATTGTTGTAACTAATGCTTAATTTATTTATTAGCCATAAACAATTACATACATATACATATTAGTCTTCAAAATATATAAGAATAAATTTAACTAGTCATGCCCTCCATATAAAAGTTAAAGATTCATATTTCAAAGGCTAAAATTTTGAAAAATCAAAAATTGAAAACACCAAATTTGTTTCCTTCTTTCTTTTCACAATAAAAAATACTAAAGTTTCCCTCCTTCTTTCTTCTTCAATAAATTAGAAACACTCAACTTTCCCTCCTTTTTCTCTTCCATAAAATTGAAAGAACCAAATTTCCCTCTTCCTTCATTCCTTCTACAAAAAGTTGAAAACTCAAAATTTCCCTCCTTATTTCTTTTTCATAATCAAAAGAACCAAACTTTCCCACTTCTTTCTCTTCCCACAAATCAAAACCACCAAAATTCCCACTTGTTTCTTTTCTGAAAAATTCAAAGAACCAAATTTCCCTCTTCTTTCTCTTCCCAAAAAGTTGAATACACCAAAATTTCTCTCTTCATTTAAAAACATCAAATTACCAAATACATTACTTTACTTCATTTATAGTTTAATTTATATATTATATTAATATTGTCCATGATCTCAATTATTAATTCTTCATTATTAATATTGACATTATGTTGATTTTATATTTAATATTTACTTTTTTAATTTTGTTAAAGAACTTAGTGTTCAAGTGACCTTCATGTTTCAATTTTTGTATGGTGCTTATCCTTTACGTTGACGTTTTGCTCTGCTCCTTCTTCTTCATTGTTTCCTTCGTCTGTTCTTGAGCAGAGCTCCATGTCTTAAATGCTGTTGAGCAATTCGAATCTCTAGGAAGATCACCACATTCCTGTCTCCTTGTTACTTGTATTGTACATTATGGAAACAGGACACAAAGAAGAAATTGATTTCATGTCTTCCTAGGATAGGAAGAAGAGATATACATCGATCCCATTTTCTCATAATTAGGTACCATGTTTGTCAAAGTTTTCCACACTTGACCCTCTCTTTTCCATTCTGGTCATGGGAATTAACCTATTTAATCTTTTGGAGGTATTTTTTGTCATTTGGCAGGAGGGGCAAGCTAAAGATGTAGAGATCTTCAAACCAAAAAAAAAAATGTAGAGATCCCAAACATTACATGGGAAGTTTTTGAGTTATTGATGAGGTCTGATGTTTGAAAACTCACTCCTCCATTAAAATTTCAAGGCACGTCAGCAAATTAAGCGACCTTAGCTTCTAAAACTCTTGATTGCTTTTGCTTGCTCCTAGGTTCATATACACAGGGTCTGTTGAAGTCAGCACAGATGTTGCTCACTTGCTCATGAACTCCTGAGAGCTGCTGATCAGTATCTTTTTGATAGTCTCAACTCTCAAGCGCCTCTGCGAATATGCAATTGCTCAGGTAAGTAAGCACTTTCCCTATGTTGGTAGGACCATTCTTGTACTCTACCGCTGATCTCATGTATTCTACCGTTCTTGTTATGCACCAAACAGGTTATCTCCGTAGACAACATCACTCTCATGTATGAGTTGTCGGAGAACTTCAACGCCATGACCTTGCGAGAAGCATGTATACTGTTCATATTTCAGCACTTTGAAAAACTCAGCGCCAAGCCATGGTATGTGATAGACCGATAATTATACATGTTTTCACCCCTATTCTGAAGCCGTTTGTGATGAGGAATCTCGTGTTTGAAGCCGATTTCACGCTAGGTTGTGTGTTTATGTCATATTTCAGGTCCCGGCGTTGGAATCGAGGCGAAGGAACGAGTTCCGGGTCGAAAGGAGCGAAGTTGGGACAAAGGAGGCTGTTGGACCAAAATACCCGGCCAAAGGAAGAAATACCCGACCGGGTATATTCTGGCCTTGACCGGGTATTTTTCCCTTCGGGCACCCGTGAGAAGCAGAAGGGGGCCCGGGCAATGGCCTTAAATCCCCGGTCGGGGATTATGAGGATAGACCGGGGATTTTCCCCTAAGTGAAACGGCGAGTTTTGGGAAATACCCGACCGGGTATTTCGACCGGGTATCGCGATGGCAGCTGATAAAAGAGAAAGAAGGCCAATTTTCAGAGGGTTCCGAGTTTTTGAGAGAGAAAGCGATACCTAGAGAGAGAAAGCGACGAACCAGAGTTCCCAAGCGCCATAGATCGATCTTCAACACCATTGGAGCCCGGCTTGAGCTTGGAGAAGTGCGATTAAACGTCCAGGAGCAGAAATC